AATAAGAAAACATTTTTATGTTGTTTTATCAACAGTTGCATTATTTGTTGGTTTCAATATAATTAATTAATTATATCTCAATATAATTAATTAATTATATTAAAATAAATAAATAAGGCACGCTTAGTTTACAATATTAGTTGTCAATACTTTGGTAAGAAAACTTGAAACATTTTTTTGTTCCAAAATTGTATTCCCTGTCTCTCCCTTCCTCTCTCACTCTTTTTTTTTCACTATATCTTATAAAAATAATCTTGATAACAAAATAAAATTTAAAATAAAATAGTATAATATTCAATGTTCTATTTTAAGCAAGAGATTTATCTTATCAGTTTTTTAAATCATCATTTTACAATATTTTAGAATTTTCAATTGATCTCTATTTTATTAAACTATTATAAGATTATATATTAAGTCTCAAGATTTTTTAATAATTAATTCTTTGGCAAGAACCTTGACTAGCATCATACATATGATATATCAAACACATTGCCAGTAGAAAAAGGTTAAAGCATACTAACATTCCGATCTATAAATCTGTTGATTGCACATTCAGAATTGCATCACGTGAGTCTTATGTTGATACGATGATTTGAGCTAATTGTAAGTGAATTGGCATGCCACTATAACGCAAATGTATCAATTCGAATTAAAGTGATAATTTGATAAGAAGATATATGACCCGAAAAGACACAATTGAAAATCTTAATACAAAATCTTGTGATCTTTTTGGAGTAAAACAATTTTGGAGAAACATTATTCCATAAAAAGCGGATATTTTACTGATAACATATGCTTTAGAAGCTCCATATATAACTGATAATTGTCATAAGTCATAGTAAAATATATTTAGGTTAAAAGAAGATTGTAATCGAATTTTCGAGCGCCACACTTAATGCTATATGTATAACTATAAATGTGCAAATTTGTGAAATTATTTAAATTCATAATATATCTTTTTGAAGTAAAATACAGTTTTTTTAGTTCTCGTGTGTATTTAGCACGCAATATATCTTCTAATATTTTAATATATAAGGAAATAAATTCTTTTGTTTTTTTTTATCTATATTCCTAGACAAAATTAACGTATAATTTTTTATCAATTTTTTTTTAAAGCTGATATTTAAATTTTTACAAAAAATTAAAAATTTTAAATTTTTACAAAAAATTTTAAAGAAAAAGTGAAAAAAATTACGTTAATACGTTAATTATCCAGGAGTATATTTGTGCAATTGACCGAAAAATTTTCCACCTATTTTAAACTTTTATTAAAATTTTATATATTACATATATTACATTATTTTGTTTTCTTTTTTAAATTTAAAATAAAGTTTAAAATTAAATTTCCAATAAGAAAAATAAATAAATTGCAAAATAAATTTGCATCTTTTATTGAGTTGTTTTTTAATATAATTTTATATAAATAGTTGTACTAGTAATTTTTTTTTAAATTGCAATACAATTTAGTTAAATATATACATATATAAACGAAATATAAAGCATCAATAATAAAGCGTCAATTAATTTTTTTATACTTATAAAGCATCAATAATAATAATAATAATAATACTTATAAAGCATCAATAAATATAAAGCATCAATAATAAAGCATCAATTAATTTTTTTATACTTATTTAGATACTAAAATAAACTTAGCTTTGCTTATTTGAAAAACAAAAAAAGAGATAACTACTCACCTATATATATATATATGTGTGTATATTTGTGTGTGTGTGTGTGTGTGTATTTATGCGTATATATACATACATATACATATATATACATGTATGAGTGCATTTGTGTGTATAAATTTTCTAGATATAAATAATTAAATTATAATAGTCAAAGTATTATTATTTTTTAATTAATGTAACATAAAATAAAAATTAAAAGATTGACTTAAAGTAATAACAATTATTATAATAAGGAAAAACAAATTTTATTTCTCTTTTTTCTTGTGCTTACCGTACCTTGACTCTTACTTTATTATTTCGTAGTAACAAAACTTCGTAAGAAACAAAATATTGTTCATACCGTCAATAAGGAAAATTTTTTTACGGTTGCGCTTTTCTAAATATCGCAGACTGTGAAAATAAGATTGCTTATCATATAAGAATTAAACTACGCTTGTAACAATATATGAACATACATATGGATGTACCGATTGTTGAATGTGATCAGATTGATATAAAAATATCAATTAATTAGTGTGTGCAAAACTATAGCAATATATTTATCGGATATATTACTACATAAAAAATATGTAACCGTAAAAGGGTGTAAGCTTTTTATGTCTTTTGGAGTTCAATTTTTGAATTAAATATGTTTTAATGTATGTGATATAAAAGCAACAATAGTATATATTATAATTAATACAGTTTGAAAATAATTGAAGGTAATTTAAATAAAATATTCAATAATTATAATTTTTAATTTAATTGTAATTAATTTATATCTGACTATACAATATATATTTTCTTAGTATTAAATACGAAATATCTTCCCACCATTCCCATCGTTTTAAAATAATTCATTTTAAATATATTTATATTTTATTGACAATATTACTAAATTATTAATTATATTAAATAAGAAAATGTTATAAAAAAATAAATAAGCACATTAAACTTATAGAAATTACAGCAGCGTCACTTTAATTTGTATTAAATATAGGCATGTGTGCAACATATAGGAGAAACGCCTTCCATCTCAAATTGCTTGTGTCTGATTATCTTAGCATGTGTATGTGTGTGTGTGTGTGTGTGTGTGTGTGTGTGTGTGTGTAAAGGCTTTCTTTAGAAAATAAAATGATTATAACTAATAAAAGAGATTATAATGAACACTGTAGAACTGAAAATTGTGTAAACATGATGGAGATTGTAATTAATGTTCTTTTGCGCAATAATTTCTAATTTTCATTCTATCATCTTTAAATCATTACACAAAAAGAAACATTTATTTGCCCAATATATGCACGTTCGTTTTATATGCGTTTCTTAAACGTAATGTTTTTAACCGTAAAGCATTAATAAGAAACGTTTCTACGAGGTAGATAAATTATAATTTCTAATATTACTGATTAAAACAATAAATATTACTAATTCTTTCAGTGAAATATTATTGATTTACAGTGCTATAATAATAACTGCTGTATTAATGATTTTATTTACTGTTTTCACTGATAATATATTGATTCACTTTTAAAGAATGTGTATGAATGCATTATTTTATTAAATTCATGAGAAAACAAACATTTAACATTAAAAAAACATATTTTAAACGGTTTTTTATCAGAAAAGAAACGTATCTCTTAATGTTTTTCAAGTGGACATTTTAATGTTTTCAAGAATCGATTATGAAACACTTTGAAGAAACATTTTTGAAACGATTTTGAAACAAATATGTGATACTTGGATATCCTCAATAATATATTCTCTTAATAGTATATTGAAACATTATATTTGTGTCATACTAAAATATAACAAAGAATAATGTTTTGTTGTATTATTGATAAAATTTTTTTCTATTGTATATAACTTGATTTAAATATTTTACACTACTATATTCGTATAATATTTTTCATTTAAAACACACATTGATTGATATTAAAAATTTTGTAACAGAAAACACTGGCTATCATATGTGATTAAAATATTGACATCATGATTGGTAGATACATAATATTATGAATAATGTTTATATTATGTACATATTATGAATAATGTTTAATATCCATAATTATATAAAAAACATCGGTTTTCCTTTATTTAATATTATTAAATGATCCTTAATTTTCAGTCATTACCATTTTTTCCTATCTTTGGACATTGCATTTTTTTATATACTTTATAATGATTATAAAAAAGCGGTGCATACATTGGTCATAGTTAAAAATATCTACAAAATAATATTTTTCATATTATAGTATCTTCCTTAATATTATTAATAACTTCTATAATACTAATAACTAATATCTTCCTTAATATTATTAATAACAATATATATTATATATATATATTAATATATATATTATATATATTAATATTAACAATTAATATATTATATATATTATATATATATTAATATATATATATATTAATATATATTAATATATATTAGCATATATCCACGCACGCACACACAGAGTTGCTCATTTTTCACTATACATTTATTTTGAATTATGCCAAGTAACATATATTTTTTTCTCTCTGTCATTCTTTAATAACTTTATAATAACTGATAAATGTTACTAAAAAATTAAAATCAAGCTGGAAATATTTGTTTCTGTCGATGATAAAAAAATTTCGAACGATTATAAAACGCAACACAACAACTTATTTATTAGTAAAAAACCAACACTTTTTTATACATAACTCGAAAAACATTGCATTTTTTTAAATTTGTTTAGCGTATATGCTCACATCGGAAGTACCTTTGACTGCCGAAGAAGAAGATGCGATTGTTTTGATAGTAGTTGTGATCGGTATCATCATTGCTATAATGGTGTTATTCTCGATGGGTATCTTTATAGATTGTAAACATCAGTATGTAAAAATAATCATTTATCTTTGCACTAGTATTTCATTTTTAAAACATCTGCATTTCGCTAAAAAGAGCCAATTTTCAACGAACAATAGCAAAAAATTATTATTTATATTATGCAGAATGTTTTCTTTTATTTAAGTACGATTGTAAACTGGTCAATATAATATAATATATTTATATATGTGCTATCAAATTCTGCAAAACGATAATAAAATTAATAATAATTACATAATGAACAATATTACAGGAAGACAGATTCTATGAAAAGAAGAAAACTGAGATTGAAAATGCCTCCATTAACACGAAGAAGTCGAAAAGACGAAGTGAAAGCTTTAGCTTCGGATATGTGTCCGAACGCTAGCGATATGGAGTTCAGAGCAAGAGATGTTATAGTCTGATGTATTTAGGACAATTATTACTTCATAAAGACTTCAATAAAACTTTAAAAAAATTATATACTTAATACGATGACAAGTAACTAAATATTTCAATATTGAAATGTTGAGATGCTTTCAATTCCCGTTCATTAAAATACTATTTATATATAACTTTTAAAGATATTAGGAATAAAGTAGATAGTAGGAATAAATTTTGTAGGAATAAATAAATTTAAAACTATATATATTGCTTGTTTGCAACAAGCAACTTTGATTACGTCAAATCACAAGATATTATGCTTTGATTACGTCAAATTACAAGATATTAATAATATTATATCGAACGTGAGTGTTACTATGATTTAAAAATTATTATTTCTAGTTGAATTTGTACTAGACTACTGCAATCGCGATTTTTTGTTATATTTTTTTGTTATATTTGAATTTGTGATGAATGAGTTTATGGTTATGTTTATTGACACTTTATAATTTGTAAAAGATCTATATTATTAATAATAACTAAATATAAAAAATACTTTTATTTATAATTATTATATCTATAATAAATTATAGAAAATCAATCAATATAATTATTTAAAAAATCATTCAATATAAGTTTTATTTAATATCAAGTTATTGTTCTATAATACTTATTAAGAAATATATCAACATAAATATGTAGCAATAAGTAAATAGCATTTGCCAAAAAATGTACATGTAAATTATTACGTTTCCATTAGCAATAAATAATTATAGAGAAATATTTTATGGTTAAACAATAAAAAAATAAAAATGATAATAATATAGTAATTGTAATAGTGAAACTGTATATATAGATCCAAATGATATATGAATAATATAGATATATAAGATGCATTTTTTGAATTATTTTATTGTTTTAATTGCATAATATAATACAAATGGTATTATATCTATAGTAATAAAAATTTTGTTAACTATAATCTTTTTTAACTATAATCTTTTTTAACTATAATCTTTATTAACTATAATCTTTTTTGTTAACTATAATCTTTTATAAGATTAAATGTAATAGCTTTTAAGCACAATTCATTGTAATATAAAAATATTTGATATTTATCATTATATTGATAATGTAGAATTAAATGTATATATTGTAAATAAAATGTTTAATTTTATACAGATTTACGTATACATATATATATATATATATATATATATATATATATGTATGTATATATATATTATTTCGTGATTATATCAAAAATTACATATTGTTACAACGATATTTATAATATATTATCATAATAATCGATATATGTATAGGACAATTGTTATCAACATATAGTAACAACATAATGTAATAAAAATATAAGATAATGAAGTAATTTATGGCAGTAATTCAAATCGCGATAAATTGTATCAATAATTAAAAATTAATTATATACAATTATAGTTTTATTTATTTATTTTTTTTATTTAATTTACATCGTCGGCTTATAATAAAATCAATCGAGAAATTCTGACTTTTTTGTATATAAGAAGGGCTAAAGTAATGATTATAATACTTGTATAATAGAATAATCAAAATAAATTACAAAATTATTTCTAAAATTTACGAAAATTTATAAAGTGTATTATATTATTAAGGTATATATGTTATGTGTATATTTTGTAATTGTATAAATATTATTATAAGCTTTATTGCTTAATATATTATTTGATATAATATATTTAATTAGCATTAATCTTTAAAAATTTATTTTTTTACGTAATATATCGTAACAGAACTCGTATAAATATAGCAATAAACATTAAAAGGTGTTCAATAAAAATATATATTTATGTACACATCTCCTCTGTTATTTTCTATCTTTATATAAATATCAAAGATTTTACAATTTTTAAAACTGAATAATATAGCATAATAAATTTTGAGATTTGTATGAGCACACATTATCTTTATTATTTATTATTTATTAAAATATTTATTTATTATTTATTAAAAAATTAATACTTTTGATTGAAATACATTATTACAATTTTTTTATTACTATTGAAATATTTTTTATTATCAGCTTATTATTTACGTTTCATTATAATTACTTACCTCACACAAAATTTGAACAGTACTGCTTATTTCATCTGAAACTCGAATTAGATATTCAAACATACTACATACACGCACATAATAAGTTAAAAAAATTTTAAAATTAATATAATATTCTTTTAATTTGTTATCAATAAAATTTTCTATAAAATTTTTATTATAATATATTTATTAAAATACTTTCTTCATTGCTTTATATCATATTAAAAAAACATAATTACATGCATAATTATATAAGTAAATTATTACTGTAATAATTATTGTAAATTACATTGTACATAATATTTAAACAAAGATAATATAGAAAACAGAAATTATTTTAAGAAAAAAATTTTGTTGTTTTATAAAAAAAATTTATATAAAATTACAACTTACGTAATATATTGTTAACATAATATGTCGTTAGAATTATATCAGTATGTTTTTAGTTAAACTTCTTTATAAATCTTGTTACTAAATTATTATCGTAATAGTGGAATGTCGGAATTTAGCTTTTGGCTTTTAGCGCATCACAGTTTGATTGAAACTTTTAAATTTAAATATTTTCTGAACATTATTAATCTCGATAATAAGTTTTTAATTCTCAGGAGACACAGAAGAGGTTTTTAATTCTCAGGAGACACAGAAGAGACAATGATTAGATCAAGCGCGTCCGAGAACCATTGCCAGCAATGCCATACGCACGTAGACTCCATTTTCAGCTTGTCGAAAGTAAGCAGCTCGTGGATCAGTATCAAACTCCGTATTTATTTCAAAGACACGTGGCAAAGGATGCATTACTGCCATTCTTCTCTTTGCGCGGGACATCAGTTGCGGGGTGACAATGAAATGTCCGCACATCTGCATGTGATAATTTTGTAGAGATATAATATTTGTATATAAAGCTAGTTTAAAAGTTATTATAAAGTATATAAAGTTTAACTTGAGATAAAATTATAATTATGTTAATTATGTATTGTGTTAACTAATATGTATTGTTAATAATTTCTAACAATTTATATATATATATATATATATATATATATATATATATATTTATCTTTCGTCTACATTTTTTACTAAAAGAATGATTACTTTTAAAAAGAAACACTGCACATATTACTTATTAAAGCTATGCATATTACATATACAATAGTATGTAATATCCCAGAAAACAATTTGTCGCCAAATTCCGAAATCAAGTGCGTTCAAAATTTGATGCCAAATACTATAGCATTTGTGTCGGCAATAAGTTCGTGTTTTACTAGCAAACCTTGCTGACAAAACCTGACAACAAATTCGTGATAAAATCCGAAAAAAGCTTGTTAATATACTTGATGTCAAATTGTCGGCAAAACCGATCAAGATCTGCAGGAAAGTTTAATGACAAATTATCAGGAAATTGAGCAAACCTTGACATTCCAAAGCCATTTAAATTTGATGTTCATGGATATTTAATTTCCAGTTTTTATTCTTTTCTTTTTAAATAACTAACATTATTTATATGTGTACAAAAATTTTATTTTATAAATATGATATTGTAATATATATAATATACATACAAGTTATATTAAAATTTTTATTTCTGACAAATGAATATTAGATAGATAATATTTTACTTATAAAAATATATAAAATTTAATCAATTAGACATTTGTGTCTTTCTAATTATATACATCTCTATAAGACGTTTATTTAAAGCTCCATTAATCGCTTACTACATTTAAAAAATGTCTATTAAATGTTTCTTATTAAGACGTTCTCGATAAAATTTATATACAATTAACTTATTTATATTCGGCAACAGGAATATTTCAATAACACACAATAAATTAACTATTTCCCATTTACTCATTTAATTTCATATAATTTATTTATTACTCCAGAAGGCAAAATGCAATGAGGTTGCTGAGATGTTGCCAATAATTGTTGAAGCAACTAATTTTAATAAACCATAAACGAGGTGAAACAACATTATGTCCGTTACGTTGAACTCACATGAATTTATGTGCTAATAACAGCAAATTGATTGCAACGTGTCAGCATAATGCTGACATGTTGTAGACAACGTAATATACCAATATTGCAGACCATTTGCTTCTTTAATTGATTGCATGTAGAAGCAGACATATAGCTGTATTCGTAACGCATATTTCGATGTCAGCAAGCATACTGCAAATATATAATAATACATGCAATGCATTTGTTTGCTGAATATGTTAAGCTTGGCTCTCTGGGTAATATTCTGAATTCCAATAATCCAGAAGGAATGGAGATTATTAAACAAATTATTTTAAGTCAGTTTATCAAAAATTAAACTGACCAAAAAGTACTTTGGATCTTATGTTAGTATCAGTCCTTCATATCCATTTCATGAAAAATTGAATATGAGTTAGTTAAACTTTATGTCGCCGCAAAGTGAATTTGAGTTGCTTTAGAATATCAAAATTTGCTCACAATTTGTTGACAATTTGCTGTCAATTGCTTTCATGCTCAGATCTTGCTTGATTTTTACCGACAATTTGATGTCAAGTATATTAGCAAGCTTTGCTTGCTTTTTGCTGTCCATTTGCGATCAGGTTTTGCCAATAAATTTTGTTCGGTTTTTGCTGTCATCAAAATTTGTAATAGCACTTATACGCAAATTGTGGCCTTTTTGCTGATAAGAATTTGTAACAAACCTTAGCAAAATCTGTTCGAGCAAACTTAGCTGGGATTATACATACATACATACCAATTGTACTTACAGAAGATATTTTATACAAAAGAATGAATATGTAATGAATAAAATAGTGGATCTTTTATTATAGATTTAATAAAACTCGAATAAAATGTTTTAAAGACTCACCTGATGGTATTCCTCTTGTGTAGTAAAACGTTCACGTTGTATTCGTGTCATGTAAAGAACATCTGTATCGGGTAAGGCATCTTCCAAGGTTGAAAACTTTTCTTGGGAAATTTGACGTTCGGCTACATAATTAATAATATGATCTGGCATACCTAGGCCAGGTGGACTCACGTAGCGAAGCTCCACATTGTATAGAGTCAGCAATCTGCATCAACATTAGGATTTAGTAAATGATACGTGTGAAAAGAAAATACTTTTAAATAAATAACTGCACGGAGAGATAATTGGAATACACGTAATACATATCTAAAGTTATAATTGTTAAATTTATGTTCGTGAATAAATTTAACATTTTTTCAAAATCCTATTTATTCCATTAAATGGAATTATATATATTATTTAACTTTTATTAACACTGAATTATTATTAATATATTTCTCTATAATGTATTTATAAAACAAAAAAATTTATTTTTTAAGATATTACATTTCTCTATGACTTGAGACAAAATTGATACTAAATTTAAATTTATATTTTAAATTTAAATTTTGTTATTATATGTAGATGTGTTCAATATTTAAAAAATTTTTATTATTTATTATAAATATTAATCATGCTTGGATTCATTACAATTGTGCATGTAGTAATTTTATTTTTACACTATTTTATAACACACAATTTTAATTTTTTTTTATCAGAGATTCTCTAGTAAATTTAAAATTGATTTTTCTTTAAAAATACCACAAAATTTATTATTGTATAAATTTATTTTTGTATCATTGTAAATATTTTATCATCAATATATGTTAATAATAGTTCATAAAAATAAATTTGTACAATAATAAATTTATATATATATATATATATATATATATATATATATATATATAAATTAGGCACGTATATATATATAACCTATAAGGGTGTATTATGCGTTTTAATATTAGAATATCATACAGGCACGTATATATATATATATATATATATATATATATATATATATATATATATATATATATATGTGTGTGCCTGTATGATATTCTAATATTAAAACGCATAATACACCCTTATAGGTTACAATATTCATAATTATAAAAAATATTTATTTTTTAGTTAGAGAAACATTTGATTAATACTGCATAATAATATATAATATTTCATTTTTTATCATTTCTTATTAACTATCTTATAATCGGAAATCGAACAAATTACTTTGGTCGCACCAACCTTGCAAGAGAATGAACGGTCCTGCCGTGTTTCAAATCTCCTACCATCGTAATTGTAAGGCCATTCACAGTTCCGAATTCGTCTCTAATTGTAAAAATATCGAGCAACGCTTGAGTTGGGTGTTCGCCAACTCCATCGCCAGCGTTTAACAATGGTTTTCTACAATGTAGAGCTGCTCTCTGTAAATTATTATTAATATAAAATATGATAATATATATATATATATATATATATATATATATATATATACGCATTTTTACAAATATAAGAAATACATATATATATATATATATATTATATATATATTACTTATACATACATATATATATATATGTATGTATGTATTTCTTATATTTGTAAATTGTAATTTATATACATTTATAAAAGAAATATTAAAAATTATAAATAAATCTTTATTATTGTCTCTCACACACATACGCAGAGATTAGTTTTAGAGTATTAGAAAAAATAATTAGAATTGAATATTAAAAATTTTAGGAATAAGATTATCATGTATACATAATTATAATATAATTTGAAAAATTATGTTGTATTCTTTAAACACATACACATATTTATGTGTAATTTTAATACTTACAGCTACTGCGCCTGGCTCCGAATGTCTGAGTACAACCACATCCGCGTATCCTGCCATGACTGCTATAGAATCTACAAAAGCAATAATTCAATAAAACTCTCATTGAATATGTGATAAATTATAAAAGCTTAAATTATGCATTATCCTCATAGATTGTTTTTACACACTGAAAAAATTATAATAGTGACATTCTTCACTTCGTTCTTTACATCGAATTGTGTTTTTTGCAAAATTGTGTTGTTGCAAAATCTCTGTTTACAGACCTTCTAAGGTTTCTCCTTTTTTTACTGATGATGTAGAACCATCCATATATATCACACGACCACCAAGACGTTCCATGGCAGCAGCAAAACTGCATGATGTTCTCGTGCTGACTTCATAGAAGATGGAAGCCATAATTTTTCCCTAATCATAAATAATACTTATATAATTTTTTTTAATGAGAAAACAGAAAAATTTGTATATTATTTAGAACCAAGACGGTACTATAATAAATTTTCTAATAGAGAGAGAGAGAGAGAGAGAGAGAGAGAGAGACTTGATATGTTTTCAAAATGATTCACAAATAAGTTTACTACATATATCGATTTAACAATATATGCATACAAGACAAATGTAAAATTAATATTAACAATATACATATATATATATATATATATATATATATATACCATTTAATATATTTAATATATTGATAAAATTTCATAACAATATCATAGTATTTATATAAGTTTATAATCTTTAAATGTCTTTAACATTTACCTTTAAAATATGGTCTAACGGTCGCTCTTTCCTAATAGCATTTCGTAAAGTCTCCGCAAGATGAAATATATCTTTTAATATTTCTTTGTTAAATATATCTACAGTAAGTATATGATGTCCGATTAGACTGCTGCTTGCATGGACGGTTGGAACAGATGCGACAGCAGACGTAAGAAGATTCGAATTACTATCGCTTTTGTATCTGGTGACATTGCTAATTGGCAATGGTGAGACAGTCCTTTGAGAAGATAATATTTTAGAATCTCTTGTTTCACTATCTAGCACGAAATGTACACTCGACTTGTGCGATGCCAGTTGTAGGGGATGCGTAAATGATTCTAATAATAATAATAATATGGAAATATTAATTTATAGTATAGTATTATATTTCATTGTCTATAAATTGTTTAGTTTTTACAATGGCAAAAAATGCAATGCAAAAAGTAATATTCGTATTGCATTTTGTTTCTTATTCATATAAATTTTACTCAATTTAAAAATGTTACTACAATATATCTTAATGTTATTATATACACAGACAATTAAATGCATAATGTACAATAATATAATGTGTGCATTTATGTTCTTACAAAAAATAAATATACAAAATTTCAATTGAAAGAAATTATTCATGCAAAATGGAAATCTTTCATTATGTGATATATAACTAGACAAGATAAATTTTTATTATATTAATAGAATTTTAGAAATGTAATAATATTAAAATTTCTTTCAAAAAATTTTTTTATATTATTTATTAGAACAAAATTAATAATACTCTTAGCATTATCATACCAATTCGTTCCTCCTCATACAAATCAGCGACGTGATCAGCATGTATGTTAGATTTTTCATAATTTGGCGATAAAAGACCGTCCAATAGTGACAATGGTTTATAGATGGCATCTGTGGACTGGCTGGATGTCATCGGTATATGATGCGTTGGTGGAATTTTCGTCTTGTATTGTATATCTCTAATATTTTGACCGAATCCAGGATTTACCAAAACTTTTCCCTCAACGTAAGCAACCTCGCCTCTCAAAACTACTCTATGCACAGAACCGTGAACCTTTATACCAGCAAAAGGCGTCCACTTTGATTTGCTAAATGGCATTGCTTCCGGAATGGTCCATTCGTCATCTAAATCGATTTCGACATATGTGTTACGCTGATCAGGAATACCGAAAATTCTTTTGGGATTTCGATATAATCTGTCAATAATGTCCTGCGTAATAAACAAATACAACGATTTTCGTAATAATTCAATATTTTGTATGTACTTTTATATATTTTAACTTATTACATAATTTTTCTATTAGAGAGAGAGAGAGAGAGAGAGAGAGAGAGAGAGAGAGAGAAGGAAAGAAAGAACGCTCATACATAACATTTTTATCTTATTTTATATAAATTACAAAAATATTACTTTAATCAAACAAAAATTTACAATATTGAAACTATAAATTTAATATATAAAAAGTGATTGAGAAAGAGCGTATTTCCCATATGTTAGTAGCACAAATATTGTAAATCTGTGCGATATTTATCAAAGATATATCATTTACATAAGAAAATTATGCTAATTTGTAACAATTTGTAATAATTTGGACGTAAAAATGCATAATTGTATTTAAAAGAAAATTTTAGAAAATTCTTTTTTTTGTATCAATTTAATGTATGTATATCACATAGCGCTTAAAAAAGAAATACAAATTTTAAATGTTATTAAAAATATACGTATATTAAATTTGAAATATCATAATATTTTAATTATAAAGTTTTTTCTAATTAATTATTCTCAATATCTTATCAAAAATAAAATAAATTTCTGATAAATTACTATTACTCCGATTTATATTACACAAATTAAAATATAAATTATCTCCAAATAAAAAAATTGTCACAATAATATATCTGTGTACATAAAATTTAATTGAGGAAATTTTCCTTACAACAAATTTTTTTTAGATATCTTGATTTATTACATCATGTTAAGTATGAACATTTATCTTCGAATCAGAGAATGACGTACAGATACAACAATCGCATTCATTATCAAGAATGAAATGCTTATCGGCATTTTTTACCCGTTATGTCAGCTAAACAATATTAAAAGTTATAATACAATAAATAATTAAAAAATAAAATACCTCCATAGTCAATCTTCCTTCATGCACACTGTTAAGTAACAGTGGTAGCATAGTTTCTAATCCAGGAAATCCTGGCGGTGGTTTCTCAGAAGTTTTTTCTTGCGCAGTGTGTGGAGCTTAAATACAAATTAACATTTCAAAACAAAAATAGCGAGAAATAAGATTGGAATTATTAATATCATTTCTCACTAAAAATGATTTATTTGTATTTGAATAAATTGTACACATACATACAAACTTTATAATTTTGTAAATTATCAAAAGATTCATTTTTACCAGAGCACTAATTGCTTATTATTTCTAAATAAGTGCAAATATTCGGTTTAATATCAATATCTCAGAACAAAAGAAATACTCTTGTCTGTCTTAAAAGCAAAATAAAGTAGATGTTATATGAACATGAAACATTCATCTTTTTATCTTTATAGAATTATAGAATAATGTTGATTGCTATCATTTCAAGATATTGTTGTATTTATTTTAATTTTTAATTATACAGCGCAAATTTGGATTTAAAAAATACAATTTAAATCACGTAATTATAGTTATAATCCAAATTAGAGAAATAATAATAAAATATTAACATACCATGATCGGTTGCAAAGCAATCAATAACATCCAAATTATCCCAAAGAGCCTGTTGGTCCTCTTTTGTGCCCAGAATGGGTCTTACCTGACCTCTTTTGCTGCCTATCCGATCCAAGTCATCTTGGCAAAGGAATAAGTGATGTGGACATACTTCACACGTAACTGCCAATCCCTTCAAGAATATATACAATATATAGATGAGATTGATATCTCTCTAGAGAAATATTTTTTAATTTAAAATCCAACAATAATTTTAAAAATATAAATTTTTAAACATTTTTTCAATGTCAAACATAAAATTTATAATTATCTCAAAAAATCAACTTTAATTTAGAGCTCATTTTTATTATAATATATTATTACAATTACGCTATTTGCTAAGTATTTTTTATATAAATACTTGGTTTCATAATTTAATTTGATTTCTTTTATTAGTAGACGTTGTTAATATACTCACATGTTCCTTGGCAGCGCGTATAATTTCTATTTCCTCCTTTCGTGCTACATGACATACATGAATCGGTCTATTATGTAAACTTGCCAGCAAAAGGACCGCAGCTGTAGTTTGTCCTTCCGCGTGCACGCATAAAGGATATTTTTTAGGCCAGCTTTCGAAATGCTGCAAAAAAATAATTTTACATAATACAAATACTACTACACATACATTATACAAATATTAATATAAATTTTAGGATAATTATTTTATATACGTGAAAAATATATAAATAAATATATATGTTTAATTAATAAATAAACTAGACTTGCTAATGCACATATAAATACACATATATTGATAATCTGCTTAATGATTTTCATACCTTGATCCAAACAGTGAGATCCATGAGACGAAGTGTCGTAAATGTTTCGTTTAGATACATTTTCAGAGCAGCAGCATGCGGTGCTATTTCTCGTATGATATTATAATTGTCTGATGAGGCGCCGATAAAGAGCGCGTAATCGCAATGTGAACCAGCTGCAGCTCGCTATTTCAGCATGAATAATATAAATAATCAATATCTTTTTTATTATAACAAATTATTTTAAATATGTCTTAATCGAAATTTTTTTCATATTGTGAAACTATTTATAATTTTACATAAGAAAATAAAGCTTTTTCCTTAGATAATGAAAAATATACGTAATCAAGATAAAAGCAAAAATATTTAAGATAGAAAATTTTGCGTGCTCATTAATAAATAAACATATACATATATAAACGTATACATATATAAATGTTTTTTTAAATATAAACAAGTTAATAATGTCTGCATAATGATAAAAATGTGTCACTTCTTAAATTATTATTGTTCTTTTATGATATGATGCGAAAAATTCGATTCGCTTGCTTCAGCGATTGTACTTTTGAAATACTTTTTACATTATATTTCCTCCAAACCATTTTATTAGTTTAATAATGAGTTTCCTGAATACTCGTAAGTAAAATATTTTTCTTAATGGTCTAATTATATTATCCTGTTATTCGTCTTATTATGTCATAATGAGATAAATAGCAACAATAGTTTCAAAAGTTTTAGAATTTGGCATGTACATGTTCTCTTTGGCATCAGCAAACATATTAAACGTTTTGACGTTTCTTTACTATGCTTAACATTATACATCCGAAATGTTTATAATTGCGTACATATAGCATACAGATTTATCTATTTAATTCTAATTATGAAAATTACTTTGATCATTTGCATTGCGTATCTTCATTATGAACGCCCGCGTGTACATGTATAATTATATAAATAATATATACGTATACATACATTTATATATATACATACATACATACATATATATATATATATATATATATATATGTCGTCGTAACATAAATATATATACACACACACATATATATATATATATATATATATATATATATATATATGATTTTTTTCTTGTTTGATAAAGGAAATCATGCATTTGTAATATTTTTGCACTAATGTAAAAAATTATTTTTCATATTATTTGTAAAAATAAATTTTGCTGGGAAATGTATAAATTCTTACTTCTTTGGCAATGGCAAAAGTTTGATGATCCACTACCGCTGGATTGGTATTGGGCATTGCAAAGATCATTGTGATGCCTCCGGCGAGCGCTGCCGCGGTACAAGAAGCAAAATCCTCTTTATGAATCGCTCCAGGATCACGAGTATGTACATGCACATCAATGAGGCCGGGTAGTCTGATCATCCTGCGCGACGACACACAATCGATATAGGTTTTCATCTGCGGTGCTTTTCCACCAATCATTCTCATCGCCTATGTAGAAAATAAAAAAGTACATAAAAAATCGTACGTTATCATTTATGCATACCTGCAGATATACATTTATATTACATAATCACAATTACATAATCTATTTGCAAGTAATGAATAATAAATGACTGTATATAGCAATCGTCATATAAATGATGTATTTGAATAATTAGAAATATTGTTTCTTTTGATACAAAATTATTTATGCGAGAATGAGTAAAAATTGATTTATATTTTCTAATTATATAATTTTAACATTATCAAATGTATCATTATTTTGTATAAAATTTAAAATAAATTTTAATGAAAATAATGATTTTTTTATATAAAACTTATTTTTCACAATATTTTTACCAAAAACTTAAATGGGCATATGATTAATCTGTATATTCTGTAATTAATTTGTATATTTATAATTTATCTGTTTTTTTAACGTGAATGTGCTACATCTAGAAAATTAGTTATTTCTTTAAACTAACTTTAAAAAAATACTATCAATTATAATTAAAAGAATTAATAATCTTGAAACAATTATTTTTATTATTTTATATAAAACTTAAGTAAAATAAAAATATATTTTCTATATCTCATAATTTTATTACGATATGATTAGAATGTATATGTCATACGTGCGTGCGTCCGTACATGCGTGCGTACGTGCGTGAATGCATGCGAACGTGCGAGCGTACGTGGATGCATCATAGACATATATACATAGACTGCGCATGCTATGCTGGCCGTTGAAGCAATGAAGTGAGATAGAAAATGACTCGGAGGATTTCTTTCTCTCTCGCACAGTAAGAAAAGTGGGGGAAGCAGAATGAGAGTTGCAGGGGAAGCCTCCCATTGTGGCCTCCCTTCAAGTCTTGAGGGGAAAAGAGTTCACTTCCCCCTCCACGGTGTGATTTAGAGTGAGACAGAGATCCCCCGATATTGCTTTCTCTTTTTAAATGTTTGCTTCAATGGCTAGCACAACATGCGCAGTCTAGTTATATACGTCTATGGGATGCACGCGCGCGCATATGTTATGCATTTTTATTAAAAAAAAGCTAATAACTGTTTTTAAAACATTAACAAATACATAAATATCAAATATAGATTTGGAATATTTAATTTTTAGTCGTAAAATATTTCTTTCTGTTTTGTATAAGTTATTACACATTTTGCGTTTTAGGTATAAATAAAAATTGTGATAGATGTTCTATAAATTTAAATATAATCTTAAAATATGTAATTCCTGGATATAGATTTTACACTTAATGTATCTTATCTAATGTGAGCCAAATTATACAAGTAAGAAAATGAGTAATATAATTATTTATCAAAGCTGATCTTTGATCGCTGACGTAAGAGTGATATAGAATGTAGTTTTAAATAAGATAGTAATGGTTATCTACATTAATTTTTTTGCTCGTTATATTTCCAATTTGATTTTTTGAAATATATTTAGTAACTAAAACTTTTAATATTTATACATATTTATTTAAAATACTTACAATATTTCATTTAATACTTCTGTAGATTTGAGTTTAAATACTTACCTCAACTAAAAGCTTCGCACATTTAACATCCGTAATTAAAGGTACGGAATAATCAACTGCTAGTCTCCTTGTCCGATAACCATGCGTCATAAAATTGGAAACGCGTCGAGCACCACCATTCCTCATTGGCAGATTAATAACAAGATCAAATTGCTTTTTTGACAAAAAGTCAGCTAGATGTCGAAGCTCACTCGGACTAGAATCTTCGTTCACGGCAATATTTTCAAACGTCCATTGTACTGGTTCTACCTGTATTGTAAAATCTTATTATAAGATATAACCAAAAAAATTGAAATAATTGCTTATAATTCTGAATTCTCATAAATTATAAATGTATGAGATGTACGAGAGACAAATGTATGAGATTACATATATGTCGCCACTTTTTACATGTTTTTCATCTTCTAAAAACAGCAAATTTATTTTTCCCATTGAAAATAATTAAGAGAACATTGAGAAATTCTATTTGAAAAATACCTATTTGTAATTATGCATTATTTCAAAATTAATCTGTAATTCATCGAGTTATTCTGGTAAGAATTTGACGCATAGATTAGATAACACATGATCACATGTTTATCCACGTATTATTATGTGTGATGTCACAAAAGACGAATTAAACTTACAATATCTTTATTGTGCATTATTACAACTCTAAGAAATAATATCACATAATTTGAATGTGTTTCGGGTGAGTATATGTGGGAGTGAGTGGATGTGCGCGTGTATAGTTCTGCGCATGTAACTTGTAATTATTACTTCAGTATGGTAATAGCTTTATTTTGTTATGAGATTATATGATAATATTAGTAGGGGATTTTTCTTATTTAACGTTATTGTGGCAATGCTTTCTGCAAACATATTACATTATTATAAATAAAATGAAATTATAATAATATCATGAAAATCAACTTTTCATAACAAAATAAATGACATAGCAAAACAAATGAATCTATTGTTATATACAACTGGCCAAGATTTATTTCAATTTCCTCTCTCTCCTCTCTCTCTCTCTCTCAAATAATATATATATATATATATATATATATATATATCATATTATACTTTTAATGCATATATTTTCTTATTAGAATAAATTATTAGCAAGAAATTTAAAATACATAATTTCCTATTATATTTATATAATATAATAAGAAATATTTATACATATACATATATATTTTCCTATTTTATTTATATAGTATAATTTTTATGCGATGTTTTAATAAGTACTAATATGAAAATAAAAAAAAAACAGAATTATTAATAGTAACTTATGGCTTAAACATATTGTCTTTATAATTATTATATTACGTTAAATATTATAATTATAACGATATATGAACCAGCCCATGATGATAAGAAACTGGACACTGGCAAGGCCGGTGAAATATCAGAGCTTTATCGTATCAACATTGACGCGATTTTTTACAAGTATTTTATGCAGAGCTTGTTTGTCGATATCCGATAGTAAGCGGGTGATTAAAAACGCCCTGACTCGATAACGAGATAGCTATTTATCGACATCACCCGCAAGAAAACTACTGTATCATTGGTCATCGACGTGTTCTTATGCGTGCATATATAATGCTGTTTCCTCGCTGACCTTGAATTTGAAATGATAAAATGTTGATAACATATAATATAGTGAACCTATAGTGATCTATAGTGAATCTAAGTGATATACGGTGCACCTCAATTATCATTGCTGAAGACGTGCTTTTTACGTGGAGACACTCGCCACGTGGCCTTCTTCAGAGTGCACTTTGTTATATCATTGAATGAAAGAAAAAAATGGGAAAGAGGTACTCAAAACCACCTGTTAAACCGCCTAAAGAAGGATCATCCAAACAGGTAGACGAATATGAAGATGTGGAATTAGTGCTATTGAGGAAAGCCATTGAAAGAGATCCTAAGAGTTTTATTTTAAACAATCTCATGATGTGTATCCAGTTCTTTGAGAATTACGAAGAGTAAGCACTTAATATTTTGAATGGTGATTTGTTGCAATCGCGGAATAGTGATAATTTATAACATTCGTGATCAGAATGCATAGAGAATTCATAATGAGACACAATATTCAATTATTGTTAGTTTATTAACAAATTAAAATAATTTTCATATAACGTAATTTGTTCAATATATGTAGTAAATTTTGTTGTTAATTTTATTGTTAATAATGGAATTGAAAAAATATATGCACCCATACAATAGTTATATTATTGATAAACTAAGCGTAACAGAGTGAAACTGATGTTAATTTATTAACTGATGTTAATTTATTATAGAAAACTAAATGTTTATTTATAGAAACAAATTTATTTTAAGGAACATAATTTATATCAATGAAACTAATGTTAATTTATTTATAAAAAATGACTGTAGTATTCATACGCGTATCATTCGTATCGTGTAGAGAGATTTTTTTAGAATATTTGGAATTACGTTGTTGATAATTCATATTGATCAAGGAATATCGATATCATTCATCTTGATTTAATCTAATCTACAAATTTAACTACATATAAAAAAATATTCTTTGACATGATATCAAGTATAGCCAAATGTATACCTAGTCTTTACATTTTTCTTGATTTTTAATTTGTTGAAATATAATTAATCGCCTGTCAAGATTATACAAACTCTTGTCAATATTGATTTTCACGTAATCACGTATTTCCGCAAAATAAGGATTCGTCTTTTCAATTATAAAAATTAAAAAGTTACTAATTATATTATTACATAATTAATTTAAATATTTTATTTACAATACTTAACTGAATAAATTGTTCAATAAGCTTATTACATATCTTAATGTTGTACTGTCATTATATTTCTTTTCTTCAATATGTAGAAAATTATTTATGAAACAAATATTTTAAATATTTATTTCTATTTTTGTGTTAATGTTTTAATAAATTATAATAAAATAAATGCGCAATCCACACAAATTTCACACATACGTAAATTTAAGTAAACTTTTGTAATTACCAATAATAATAATAGATTACACTATAACTAACTATTGAATCTTTTTGCAGAGATATAATCCAAATTAAGGAAACTCTAGCATCGTCCTACGAAGCTAAACTAAATAAAATACTGCCACCTCAAAAACATGTTTTATTACCAGATATTCTTCAAGAATATATCGCGCATAATATCATCTTCACTTCGAAGAGGCAAACTGGCGAGCTTATTATCGAACCGCTGCAACCCATCCGCATTTATGTTGTATATAATAATATCGAAATTACAGAACATCATTATCAACCAGAGTATAGTAGTTTAAACAATGGGATTACGTATAATCTAATGGTGCAACCGAGTGAACATCCAGGTATTAAATTAACTCCGAATCATAAAGTTTATACAGATTATTTGAGATTCTCCTTTTTTTTGTACAAAAGGTTTAAAAATCTAAACTTATTTTTAACAAGAATATCTGATAATATTTTAATAATATTAATAATATTTATAATATTAATAATATTTTAATAACATTTTTTCGAATTTTTAATAGAAAAATAATTTTGAAATGAAAAATAAACTTGAAATGAAAGATAAACTAAAAATTTCTGTTTCTCTCTCTCTCTGTATATATATATATATATATTTTTCCATTTGAAGAAAAATTTAAACAATAGAATATCATATTAATAGAATTTTTAGATTTGAACATTTAATTAAGTGAAAGAATATAAAAGAATATAAAAGAATATAAATACTTAATTTTTACAATAGCATGGGATTTTTTATAGAAAAACTTTCTAATTAATATATAGTGTAATAAAAAAGTATAATATAGTACATATAAGAAAGATAAAATCTTATACAAAAAAATTACTATATATGTATTGTGATGGACAATCCAAAAAGACATCACGTCACAACTACTATATGAAATAAAAAAAATAAATATAGAAAGAAAGAGGAATAGAGAAAGAGAGAGAAAAGAGAATGAGTGAATAAATTAAAATTATTTCTATATAAATTCTTCTGAATGAATTTTAATCATTTATTTCTCTTATGATAGATATATATTAATAAAAATTCAATAAAAGGAAGAGAGTCACTTAACGCGTTTCTCCACAGGATTAAAAAAAAATAATTTTTTATGTATTGTATGATTATTAGGAATGTTAAAAATAATCATTAAGTAAAAAAAACTCAATTATTAAAGCCAAAATTAATTTTTATAGATATATTATTATGATGCATGAGCCCTTTTCATGACTAATAAGAACTAATAAAATATTTTCGTTTATTATACTGCTTTGCCATCATATTAACACACCATTTTAGATTATAATTTATATCATTTTCAAGGTAAAGATACAACTCATAATAAAAATACAACTCATAATAAAAGAATTAATTTTTTATTATTCTTGACATATAAGTGACTATAATAAATAGGTGAAAATATATATATATATATATATATATATATATATATATACTCACCAATTTATTATAGTCACTTATATGTCAAGAATAATTATTTCATTAATTAATTTAATAATTTTAATTTAATAATTTTCTTATTATGAACTGTATTTACTTTTATTTTTGTATTTATCTTTACCTTTACTTCGAAAATGGTAGAGATTATAATTTAAAATAATGTTAATGATGTTAATGATAACAAAGTATAATGAGCAAAAACATTTTATTAATTTACTTATTAATCATGAAAAGAGCTCATGTATCATAATGATATCTAGACTAATTAATTAATTTTGGTTTTATAGATCGAATTTTTTTCTTTTTAATGATTATTTTTGACTTTCCTAATGATCATATAATACAAAAGAAATTATTTTTTGAAAATCCTGTGGAGGCCAAAAAATTAAGTAATCCTCTCCCTTTATTCTTGTTGAATATTAAGATTAAACATCTTGAATTACTATAAAAGTTGATAACACACAACTCAAATGACGTTGCTAAAGGAAAATTTATTAATAATTTTAATAACATTCTTTTGACTTTAAAATTATACAAATATATATATTATACAAATATTTTTTCAATAGGATATGTACGATTACAACGTCTCGATGAAACTCCATATCCGAGGAATCTTAGCAAACAAGAAGATATTGATCTTTCATTAATAGAGGATGATGATGAAATATATGATAATGATGGCGAAAGCATTTATGGTCGTAATTCAAACATGATACTTCCTCATCAAAGGAAGAAAATAAGACCTCTTCAGTTACAATCTACAATCGTTAATATTGGATCTTTATCCAATATACATGACGACAAAATATATAGAGATCAAGTATCCCTCTTGCGCAAAAATATCTACAAGACTCAATCCAATTATGATATTAAAACCAAGTCTGATTGCGAGCATATGTTTCCGGTGGAAAACTATGATAAGAAAACTTCGAAGAGCGAATTAGATATCAGAAATGAAAGTTATCAACAACAGTTACCTCGACCTGACACTATGAAGTCAACAAAACCAAAAGTAGACCGGCGACATCACCGTAGACCACCGAGCATTTCGAGTTCCGGTTACAGATCCGGAGCTTATGACAGTGACAGTGACTGGAGGGACTATTACACTGTGACCCCTAGTGCACAGACCAGTAACATACATAAAAATGATAAGATGGATGCGTCAAGCAAAATATATTCGAACGCAATGATTCCGACACAGTGCTTCAAGAAAGTCAGGATAAATAACGAAGGCAAGATTTACGCAATGCGAGCAGAAAGGAAACAATTACAAAATAACAAGCAGATTCGCCTCAAGATGGCCGATAGGCAACATGACTGCGAAGTCTTCTATATGAACAATGAAATGTTTATGAGCCATTTTGTCGATCTCTTCATATATCAGTTGGCTGAGCCGTTAGGTTTTAAATCAGAAGATTTAAATTACGTAGAAAATTCAGCTATCCATTGCGACAAAATAATAGAATCGCACAGTCTCAGACTGCGTAGGATCGAATCCTATGAGGTCACGCCAACAATATGGCTTCAGTGGCCGACATACGCTCAGGAATGGTTAGATCGACCGAGAAGCACGTGGCCCGATTACAACGATATTAGCAAGGTGAAAGACTTTGGTTGTTATGTAATACCCGAAGGTTTTCTATTGAAACAGAGAGATCTTCTATTGAGAAAATTGAGACATCAAAATGTAAAAAGGAACATTCAGCAGATCGAATGGCAACTGACATTTCCAGCCGCAGAACGTTATCTGGAGACCTGCATGACTCGTTCGCAAGTACAAGTATATTTGATCGCATTGATGCTTCATAAAACATTCTTAAGGCCAGTCTTGGATAGCACGCACGGCCTGACGACCTCTCATATTAGAAATAAGCTGTTCTGGTTAATCGAAGAAGACGATCGACCTTCAAAATGGCCTGACAATCGGACCGGTGAATGTCTAATCAAGTTGCTGAACAGTCTTTATCGCTGCATTAGCCAAAATGAGCCGATTCTGCCTGATTATTTTCTCCGTGACAGAAATATGTTTAGTGAAGTGCCGGATGATTATCTGAAACGCAGTCAGAAACAACTAAAGAGAATAATTGATAACCCTATTATGTTCGTGTTCCACGCAATGGAGAACATCAAGTATAGTAACCAATTCTTTCCGCGATTGGACTTTGCAATGTTATTCAAGATACTGACAGTTCAGCCATGGTTAGCCGTGGTAAATCCGACCTTAGACATGCCGAGAACGGCCGAAGAGTCTCATAGGGAAGAGATCTACAATAGATCTGGTGGATTTTGGGACACCGCTCGAATGAATGATCAGCAAAACTATAGCACGCGAGTAATTACGAATAGAACGCTCATCACCCCACGCAAGGCCACGGATCTTATCGTCGAAATCGAGGTAAGTTCCTCAAGCGATAAGATTATTATCAATCAGCGTTCATAATGAGCAATCCAGCGTAATATATCGCTATTGTAAACCAATGTGCCAGACAAACAGCACCAAGTCAATCCATGATATTACACAACTTCCCGCAAATCTAATCTTATCTTCATTCTTTTTTGTGATTAGTCATAAGGATCAACAGTCACGGCCAATTCACATTTCTCATCTTTTTTTTCTTCTATCTCTTTCTAGGAATGCTGTGCCAAGTTGGAAGGTTTAAGGCTGGCTGCTCTGTTGGACTTCTTTATTAGACATTTTATAAAAATGGCCGAATGCTGTCATAAGTACAGGTCTTATCAGAAAAAAGTTTATCTCGATCAAGCGGATCGACTGTCGATTATCCTATCGGACAAAACTAGATACAAGGACGACGCTAAGGCTTATCGAGACAAAATCCACGCTCTAAGAATGAGAGCGGCGACAAATTCAACGAGATTACCGAACGAACCGCCGGAGACACCCAAGAGGAATGGAGACTCTATATTCGTCGGTACTTTGAAAAATCGCTACACGCAACAATTTGTTGAGCAAATGCAGCCGATGCAGCCAAAAGGCAAGCAATCGCAGTCTAATCATGAATATATGAGTAAGATCACAAAAGCTCATGAAATACGATTTAAAGATGAGAAACATGCAGAGAAAAGTGTGAAAAAAGTGAATGCGATATCGAATGACGAAGATTCTTACACAAGAAACGTATCGAAAAGTCAAAGTGACGAGTCGGCCTCCGATACAATTCAAACAGTAATTTCCCTAGCAGACCACTTAAGCGAAACGACATATATATGACACAAATATTTATTAAGATTAGGATGTAAATAATCTACTGAAAAAACAAATATTTATATTCAATATTTACATATAAGACGGATTTTCTAATCAAAATATTATTATATATATTTTGAAAATATTATCATATATATTCTGAAAATAGTCGATAATCAATTTAGTAAGTATTCGAGCAAGACTGCAAATTATTGATATTCGATTGTATTATCCATAAGCGAACAAAGTGATTATTGACAATTAAAATAATTTATAAAAATAGTCAATTACTGTGCAACACAGTTAGATTTGAGCAAAGTAATACTATTATTATAATATAAAATGTAACTTGTAAAGTAAATTGCACTACTATAAATTAGACATTTCAAACAAATTTTTTATTAAGAAATATTCTAATTTAAAAGAAACTTTATATCTCGTAATACGCACTTTCCATTTTTTCCATCTTTCTTTTAAGATATTTTAAATTTATTACGACAAAAATCAACAAATTTCTAGCAATATTTTCGATATTCATTATTATTTCATTATTATTAATCTCATTATTTTTGTCAACTTAAGATATACTACATTAGTGCAATTAAATATGTATGATATCTATTAAATAAAATATTTATGTTAAAATCGCGAAAAGAGTAAATCTAATATACATTATGTATATTTTATTATTTTATATAAGTTTTAAATTACAGAAAATTATTTGTGAAAAAAATAATCAATCATTTTTCTCATAAATATCTCATTTTTTAAACTCATTATTCTTATAATATAACATAATTATTTTTTAAATATAATTATTTTTTCATATATGTGTTTGTACACAAAAAATGACTGAATATTCAAAAAGATGTAGTTTTAATTAATATGTCGATGTAGTTTTAATTAAATATCTTTTTAAATTTTAATTATTATAAATATTTTTTTCACTTACTTCGACTCCATGTTCAGTGTAGAAATCGGCAGTACCCATGCTAGCATATAATTTGTATCCCATGTTTTTCAAATTCCTAATAGACCCAAGCAATTCCATTTTGTGCTGAAATGTGTACGAAATGGATTCTGTTTATTTTTATTAAAAGACACATTTTTTTAAATATATATAAGCCATTCACAAGCTCATATATATACATTTTAAAGACTTTTGACATAACAAGTGACTATTTTATCATAACAATAGTAAGAGATTTTCATTGCAAATGTTATCGATATTACAAATTTTCAAAGAATTAAGGTGCATATATTTCCAAAGCAAAAATATATTTTACTTGTTATGTACACACACACACACACACACACACACACACACACACACACACACACACACACACACACACACACACACACACACACACACACACACACACACACACACACACACACATATATATAATGTATCAAATATATATAATATAGTATATATACTTATAAAATTTATTTATATTTTATTGTAATATATAAAAGATAATTTTTCTCATATTCAAGCTAATTACCTTAAAACTTCCTACAGAGAGCAAAATACCTCTTTGAGGAATGTGAAAACCAGTGCTTATCATGCCTTTCAAATAAGCTTCGTAGCGATTTTCACCGAAACAGCCTACTTCTCCAGTGGATACCATTTCAACACCCAGCATCACATCAGCACCTTTAGTTGAGCCGAATAAATAATAACAGTTCGTTATACATATATTGTATAATAATTAGAAAAGCAAAGAGAGAAAATGCACGTGCACATGTTGTATGATATAAAAGACTTATGAGAAGAATTAACAATTATATTAGTCCATTTAAAAAAAATAAGATAACAAATTATTACGATAATTTCCCGTTTGATAGCATTTCTTATACATTATTTATTTTTATACATTATAGATTAATTGTAATAAAGTTGAACAATATTTTATTTAAGAAATAAATTTAAATAACTCGGCAAATTTGAACTTAAACTAATAAAAGATAATGTAAAAGAGAAATTAATTAAATAAAAGAAAATAAATATTTTAATTTGACAAAAATATAAAAAAATAATATGAGATATATATAAAATAATATGGCATTAAATACACACACACACACACACACACACACACACACACACACACACACATATATATATATATATATATATATATAAATTATTGTTGTTTAACATGAATTATTCTCTAAAAATTGCATATATAATGGCCGAGATTCTTACCAGCAAGACGGGAAAAAGAAAATTGCGGCACTTTTACTCCAACTCTTCCACAGCCAGCTAAAACGTCCACAGGCTCAATTGTTTCGCCGATGATTAAACGGGTTGCCGTCGCGACGAAGTCGTGATCTAAGGTTTTCGAGACGAAAGGAAAAGATCTGGATACTCTTACGTTACACTCGATCACTTTTAACTCGTTATCCTACATAAAGATATTATTAATTTATTAGTTTTTGTGTGTTAAAAATAAAATATATAATAAAATTTAAAAATCTCCCCTGTGCTCTCTTTTCTACAATTCTTTTTTTTTAAATATAGATTTTATGTTTATACAATAAAAATGCGAAATTAATATATAATTAAAATCATAAAAAAAGAATATAAAATAGATAGTATAAAAATGTTATTATTTAAAAAATATATAATTAATATTAAAATCATATTTGTCTTTTTTAAACTTAATTAATCAATCTTCAAACACACATAAAAATATAAACGATATCCACCTTTGCAATTAATTGCATATTGAAAGGACCAGTGACTCCCAGGGATGCCGCCACTGCTTTTGAGATACTTTTTATTTTCGCCAGAGTTTGCTCATTGATATCTTGTGGTGGCGTTACTAATGTGGCATCTCCTGAATGAACACCTGCATTTTCAACATGTTCAGATACTGCCATGCATAATATAATTCCTTCATAAGCGACGGCATCGACGTCGATTTCTTTCGCTTCAAGAATAAATTTCGATATCACTACGGGATGTTCTTTACTAACTTCACTCGCGCTTTTCAAATAAGACTCGAGATCCTGATTTGAATAGGCAACATTCATTGCGGCTCCACTTAACACATACGAAGGTCGAACGAGACATGGATAGCCAACTTCGTCACAAAATTCAATAGCAGATTTCAAATTTGTTAATTCTTTCCATCTAACAATTGTGAAAAGATAGAATTGTTTAATAAATATGTATTTTCATATATAACACATTTAATAAAAATTGCATACGTACCTTGGTTGCGATATACCGATGCTATCGAGCATGCGAGAAAATTTAAAACGATTTTCGGCGCCATCGACGGATTCTGGCGATGTTCCAAGTATTCGAGCTTGCTGTCTGTGCAAATCCATAGCAATATTATTTGGTAACTGTCCACCCATTGACAATATTATACCTTCTGGACATTCACAATCATAAATGTCCATTACAACTTCGAAGGAGATCTCCTCAAAGTACAATCTATCACTCATATCATAGTCTGTACTGACCGTCTCTGGATTATAATTGATCATTATCGTTTTACGTTCAAGATTTCGCAATTCACGTAGGCAACTCACGGCACACCAATCAAATTCTACTGAACTGCCGATTCTATACACTCCGGAACCTAAAAGAGACATATTACATTTTCTACCTTTTGTAGTAATATTTCATTTTTAAAATATTTCTCTATTTATTTAATATTAAATGTATGTCTCTTAATTATATTTATATCGATAATTATCGATCACATATCTTTTCTATATATAAATTATAAAGGAAATCCATGAGAGAATAATAATAAGAGAATTATTTTTAATTGAATTGAATTCATACATGATGCTAAATTAGCAAGTTTGTGTCTTTTTTTAAAAAAAGTTTTGTTTGTTGTGATTACTCTTAATGATTGGACAATGATTATATGCATGTAATGTTGTACCTATCACCATTGTGTATCCGCCAGGAAATTCTACATCGTGACTAGTGCCATTATACGTTAGATAAAGATAGTTTGTAGTGGCCGGCCATTCAGCGGCGACTGTATCAATTTGCTTGACCATTGGTCGAATATTATTTTCCTGTCTTTGTATTCTGACAGCTAATTCGGAGCTCTTCACCAGGGCAGCAATCTGTTTATCGGAGAAGCCATTCTGCTTTGCACCCAGCAGCAAGTCATGCGAAAGTTTCGTACGATCGATATTTTCCAAGAGTACATAATAATCGATAATGTTCTTCATTTTTTCAAGAAACCAGCGATCTATTTTGGTGAGTTCATATAATCGATCGATCGTGTAACCGGCTTTGATCGAAGCAGCGAGAACGAACATTCTTTTATCGGTCGGTTTTTCTAATTCCTCATCGTTGATAGTCTTCACATAAGGATCGAACCCATTCACATTTTCATTAACCATTCTCAATGCCTTCTGAAAAGCTTCCTCAAATTTACGTCCAATCGCCATTACTTCACCTACGCTCTTCATAGAACTGCCAATCTAAAAAGTATTCGATATCACAATTATAAAGAAACAATATTCAAATTAATTATATAGAAATTAAGTCATATAATAGTCGGATACATTGTAAATTTACACATTGTATAGATGAAGAAAAATATATAATTTTTTTTATTTAATTAGTTTTTACTTTATCATAATGTTTTAAGAATGTTATATTGTATACATAAAGATTAAAGAAGTATATATATATATATATATATATATATATATATATCTTTTTTCTCTCTCAATTATATTTAAATAATACAGATAATAATATACATTGTATAATTATCTAATATTGTTTCACATAAAATCAAAATTAAAGAATTATCCAATACCTTGGTGCTGACACGGTGAAATTTGCTTAGATCCCATCTGGGTATTTTAACTACACAATAATCAAGACTCGGTTCAAAACAAGCTGTTGTTTCTCCAGTGACAGAGTTGCGAATATCCGACAAACGTATTCCAAGAGCTAATTTGGCAGCGACATAAGCCAAAGGATAGCCGGTAGCTTTACTAGCTAAAGCCGAGCTTCTAGACAATCTAGCGTTCACTTCGATAATATAATATTCTTCGGAAAAAGGATTGAGTGCATATTGAATATTACATTCTCCGACAATGCCGAAATGTCTAATGACCTTAATAGCCGTTGTTCGTAGCATATTATATTCTTTATTGGACAATGTCTGACTTGGCGCAACGACAATTGATTCACCAGTATGAATGCCGAGAGGATCAACGTTTTCCATATTGCATACCGTGATACAATTATCATATGCATCGCGCACAACCTCATATTCTACCTCCTTCCAGCCTTGTAGTGATTTATCAATTATTAATTGACTGGAGTGAGCTAAAGCTTGTTGCGCTAGCATTTTCAGCTCTTCTTTTGTATTAGCAAAACCTGATCCGAGACCACCGAGCGAGAACGCAGCGCGCGCCATTACGGGATAACCCAGTTTTTCAGCGGCTTCTAATGCCTGTTTAGAAAGAAATTATATATATATATATATATATATATATATATATATATATAACAAACATGTTGATTTGTCAAATATAATATTTTAATTTTACAAAATTATGGAAAAATTATTTAATTCATTCAAATACAAAAAGATTTTCAATAATAAAAAATTTTATTAAATATACCGAATCGATATCTTTGTGCAAAATTATTATAAGACAATCTGAGCATGTTAATTTTATCAAATTGTAATTCTACAAAATTGTAAAAGACATTTTAATCTATAAAAAAATATTACTAAGCCATTTATATACCTCTTGAACAGAATATACGGCAGCACTTGGTGCGACTCTTTCATTTATCTCACTGATACGATCTGCAAATATCTTTCTATCTTCAGTTTGTATGATGGATTCGATTGGCGTCCCTAGAATTTTAACATTGTACTTTTCAAACACACCATTTCTTTCAAGTTCTACGCCGCAGTTGAGGGCGGTTTGTCCACCAAATGTTAATAATACGCCATCCGGTCTTTCTGATCGTATTACCTAAAACAGATTATTAAAAAATCATTTTTTAAAATAACACATACATATAAATTTAATGTAATACACAAAAACATACACATATGTGTATGTATATAATATATACATATACATAATATTAATAAATATACATTAAATAAATATCTGTACGCATATATCTTTGATAATAAGTACCAAATAGAAATTTGCACCCAACAAGACTTTCTCTGTAACAATATTAGCGATGTTGTGTCACTAATAAAATAAAAACAGCCTTTAAATGCATTTTTTAAATGTACTTCAGCGTACCTGCTCGACGTATTCTGGTATAATTGGCAAGAAATACACTTTATCGGCCATGCCTTTTGATGTTTGTACCGTGGCGATATTAGGATTTATCAAAAGAGTTTGTATCGATTCTTCTTTTAATGCTTTTATTGCCTGCGAGCCTGAATAATCGAATTCTCCAGCTTGACCAATGCTGAGTCCTCCCGAGCCCAAAATTAACACTTTCTTAGGTCGAGGTTCGAGTGTAATTAGAACCGGAGATTCATAAATTAGCTTTTGAGTGAGCCTATCTTTTATAGAGATCCAAGGATGACCCTCAATTTCATCCTTCACGCTTTCCAAAAATACATCGAAGAGACATTCGAGATCCTCGGGCCCTGCTGTATGTTCCGGATGAAATTGAACGGAGAAATATGGCAGATTTGAATGAACTATACCCTCATTGCTATTGTCATTAGTGTTAGTAAAGAGCACCTCCCAATCGGATGGTAATTGGGCCGCATCGACGCAAAATCCGTGATTTTGCGAAGTCATGTAACAACGTCCGGTACTATGATGCGTCGCCGGTTGATTGTGACCTCGATTGCCATAGCTGGAAATGAATGGCATTGCCTATATAACAGTAATCTATTATACTTTGTATTATATGACAGGAAAATATTTGAACTTTGATGAGAAAACAATAATATTTCGGATGATGATAGAGGAAGGAAATATCAAGATCGGAATGTTTGGAGTAAAAACTATAATTTATCACAGCCTCGAGAATCTGTCTTCCAAATAAAATTTGTTAATGAAAGTAGTATTGACATGATTTATATTGTTACGTACTTCATTTTATATGTAACACAACCAGCGGCTATGGATAGTAATTGATGTCCAAGACATATGCCAAAAATAGGTGTTCTCTTCTTCTGCGTGAGAACTATTCGGATATTTTTTATTGTTACTTGACACATGCTGGGATCGCCCGGACCATTGCTAAGAAATAAACCGTCATATTCGGTAACACTCAAATTATAGTTCCATGGCACAACGTCCACACGAGCACCACGTCTTAATAGACATCTCAGTTGATTATATTTTAATCCACAATCAACCACGCATATACGAGGATATCCATTCGGATTATATATTGGATATACATTTGAGGTCGGCTGAAAATCACAAATGTATAAAGAGTGCGTGAAAGAAAAGTATTGCCTGTGTAATGCTATATAAAAACATGAATTAAATTGTATTAATGTTTTTGCAACTTTATTAATGTGCGAGAAAATATTTGACATTTTAACACTAAACTATTTATTCGTAAATTATTTATTGTCCTATTTAATAAGTTATAACAAGCGTGACACAATACCAAAAATTGAAAGTTTAAAATTATTCAATATAGACAAGAGACACTCGAATGTTTTGAAGTAAACTTTATATACAAAGAAATGTTATATATTACCCAAGAAACTTCCGCAACAAGATTTCTCTTATTGGGATCTTCTATTGGAGGCATTATTGGCAGAGTCATTAATGGTGGTTGACCAAAAATTATTCTGCCCAATATAGTACCTTTCTCGCGAATAATTTTTGTCAATGCTCGTGTGTCAATCTCACATATTCCAGGTACATTTTGTTCTTTCATCCATGTGGATAGCGTCTTAGTTTGTCGCCAATGACTAGGCTTTTCACAAATTTCTCCGACTACTAGACCCGCGGCCCAAATGCGATGAGACTCGAACCAGCTATGTCAAAATTAATATTTTAAACATTAATATTTTTTCTCTCAATTATTATTTTCAATATTCCCCTCTCAAATACCATATTTATAATCTCTATATATGTATATTACTTTTACTGTAATCCATAAACATTTTTTATTATTATTTTCTATCAATGCGCAAACTAAATGATTAAAATATTATTAAAATGTGCTCTATGTATTTATATCTAATGTGTTGTTTTAATATACGTACATATATGTATATATGTCTTAATTCTTTTTACTAATTTTTGCATGTATCTAAAAAATATCTTTGTTATTGTTAAAGTTGAGCTTTACATCAAGGCTGTAACAGTTTTGCCTTTTCTTGCAAATGCGCTAAGCAATATATTAATTTACTATTATCGTATTTCGTCTATTATACTTTAAATATAATAACAAATATTTTTTTTATATTATTATATATATAACATATATATAATAATATAAAATATAAATACATTTTTATATTATTATATATATAATAATATAAATAATATATATATAACATATATATTGCATATATATTTATTATATTGCATATAGCATATATATTTTTTATATTATTATATATATGCTATATATATTATTATATATATAGCAAAGAGAAAACTCTTACGCTGTGTAACAATTTTGATTCGTTTGATTCACATGCAGTATATAACAAATTAACATTGTTCATGAATTCGTTAACGGGAGCTGAATTAAATTTTATTGCGATCACTTACTATGGTATATCATTCTCATCCTTTTCATTACCAAAAACACCATAATTTCCTATAAGCGGATATGTTAGCACCAGAATTTGAGCATGATAAGAAGGATCCGTGAGTGATTCTGAATAACCGACCATACCAGTCTGGAAGACTATAAAGAATAATAATCACATTCTTATATATGCACGAAATATATGAATATGTATACATAATATATACACTTTGTTGTCTCACTTGTAGAATATATTTATGTTTAAATCTAAATAAATCTAATATATTTAAGAGAAATACATTTCCCAAATACTGTCATAATTAATAAAAATAAATTTATATAATTCCTATGTTTTATTGTTACCAGAACAAGGAAAAATTGAACAATAATAAAATAATATGTGTTATTAGTAGTATTTTATTGATCGTAATTATATCTCGCAAGGAAATGTACTCGCGGATATCTCGAGGACTTTGAATTCGATCAGTTTTAATGTTAGCTTGTCAACGACGATTACATCATATAATATATATTTTAAAACGTTAAATTGAAAGTTAATAAAATGTAAACAAGAAATCACAAAGTCCAATTACTATCTAAATGTATATTTAAAAACTGTATCATTATTTTTTTTTATTTCTCAGAATTTACAATTTAACAAAAAGACTAATAGACCATATTGCAATATTGTTCGTAAACAGATCAATCATTAATAAAACTAAAATTTTTTAAATTAATATATTTTATAACACAGATACATTGATTTTTTCATCTATTTTCATTATAACAATATTATAATCATGCAACGTGTATAGTATTTAAATAAGTTTTTTTATTGAAAAGAAAAAAAAATATATATATATGTATATATAAATTTATATTTACTCGTTATAATTTCCCAATTTAAGATTAAAATAGAAATACTTTTTGTTTTTTTTATTTGTTTATTAGAATTTTTTTTTTGTTTATTAGAACAATAGTAGAAAAAAAATTTATATATATGTATATATATATATATATATTATTGACAATCTCGAAAACGTTTTACATCTTAAATGCCAAAAAATATATATGAATTATATATATATATATATATATATATATATATATATATGTATATATGTAAAATATATATTATATTTATGTTGTGAAAAGGTGTTTGTATGTATAATATATGTGCTATATGTCTGACAAAAAATTTAATTAACAAATAAAAATCTTTTGTAATATGGATAAAAACTATTAATTAATTACTTAATGCATTATTTTATGCATTAATTATTAGATTTGTTTGAATTGATTAATTTTTGCTAAATTTTTTTTTAATTTACATTAATGACCAGCATCAAATCATTCATAATATTTAATCAATAACTATGAAAAAATCCACTTACAATTTTAAATATTTTTGTATTCTAATTTATTCATTCGGACGATTATTGGTTTAATTTGCCTCTAAATACAATCTATATTACATTGTTAAATTAATCTGTTGTTTCATTGTAACTATAGATTTTTGTGATAATTTGACAAATTATCATCAAAAACAATCTTCTATTACATTAAATCAATATTTAACCTATATATACTTAATTAGTATTTAACTATTACAAGTATTATTTCAAAATTACAATACTTTTTTTAAAATCTAATGTTTGCATATTTATATTAAACAATGACACTGCTCATAAATATGTAAAAATTAAAGTATGTAAAAATTTCCTAGTTGTGATTATTCAATAGAAATAGCAATAATGCCACTGTATTTATTGCTATTTACAATATGAATATCGTTAAATTTCTCTCGTTTCACAACGAAAGAGCTTATCTCATAAGAACTGTTCATAATACTTTACGGAGCACGCAGCAAGTTGGCTTGCTCAGAAAGCAGCGTGCACGTGTATGCATACTTGCTCCGACTTGCAAAAAAGAAGCACATGTTCGGTATCAACTCACCAATTTCACCATCAACGGATACATCGGCACCAAAGTGTTTTCCCAAAAATATGCTACCATCTTCTAAAAGAAGATAACTATCGCTCACGCCATTGAGCCCAATGGATGAATAACCGGGCATTTTTAATTTTTGTCGCGTGTTTCCTACACACGTGCTGCCGACACATTGCGTGCGTCGCGAGCCGGGAGCATGCTTTTAACATATTAAAAGTTCAATGGCTGCTCCTACAAAGCGATATGCGCACCGTTAAAGAACCAAAATGCGACCAATTGGAGAGCAACGTTCCCGCTTTGCTGCGCACAAGTTACAGCGCAAATCATGTGAGATGAATCTCTGCACAATTATTGGTTGCTTCGCGTCAAGTAGCATAACATCACAGACGTTGTTACATTGGCGGGAAAATTAATTTTATTTATCAATACGAACATTTTCCTTTAATCAACATTTTATTTTGTACTAATTTAGTTTTAATTTTAATTTATAATTATAAAATATTTTCTTAAAAATTTATATACATAGCGAAATCAATTTCACGTAATGATATATCTTTATATTTGCTATCAAAGAGACATATCACATATGTAGGAATGATGCAGTAGTAAAAAAATAAAATGTATGTAAATATTACAAATATTACAAATAAAAAAAATTATTATTATTAATAATTATTAAATACATCAAATTTATTATCCACATTTTTTTGTTATGTATTTGTTTATTACTGTTTTCTTATTGTGCATATATTGTGTGTTGCATAAATATAAATTTTTTTAGCAAATTTATTTGTTTAAATTCTTCTGCATATTATACTTAATAAGTTTTATTATTACATATACATGTAACATTAACATAGCTCGAAATATAATTTGATACAGTTCATATATTATTAATATAAAATAAAAAATATATTAAGAATCTACTGCTTAAAGACAAAACTGCCGAGGTGTTTAAAAAGTCTTTCAGTCTAACAATGAATATAACTAATAGCACATTGTTTTCATTCATTCTTATCACATTTAATTATTCTCATCATTTAATTGATTGTATCTCATTAATTTTGGTCGCACGATTTTGGTCGCACAATTTTTCATGTCGCAGAATCCACTTTTAGATAGTCAAAACATGTATTATTACATATTTATTTCTAATTTTAATTTATTATAATATTATTATTATATTATCATTATTATATGCCTCCTCCTTTGTTAATAAATATTAAATGAATTTTTAATTTTATGCTTTATATTTATGCATTTGGCTCTCAAATTTATCTTCATGTATTTATATTGTAATAAAAAATCTGATTGTTATCTTGAGAGAGTTTAATATCCAAACAATCTTACAAATATACATATAATTGCATCATAAGTACTAATAATAAACTAAAAATATAATACTTAATTAGAATAGAGTAAAGTATAAGACAGCTATGTATACATATAGTAAAATAAATGTGTAGAACAAAAGAATAAATTAAAATCATGTCACAGTAACACAAAGAATTTTTGTTTTAAATTAAGAAAGAAGATATTTACATTTATAAAAGAACAGAGACGAAATTACACGTTTCAATGATTAATGAAAGATAAATTTTTATCTGATAAAATTATACATATATTAATAGTAACATGTATTCATATAAAACAGACACGATTAAATATATCAGCATATTAATAACATCATTTAATAACAATTTCTAAAATTTATATATATATATATATATATATATATATATATATATGTTACAATTTTGGACTGCGATAGACTTCCTTTTTCGTTCAATCTTTAATCAAGAATACATTTCGTTTGAGAAAGAATATTTATCAGATAAGTCTTATCTGATAAATAATTCGATTAAAGCTCTCAATTAATGGTAGATTTAATCCAGTCGATATGTGATGAAATTTTATCATATAATCGAGGTCTTTCGATGCCATCTTTTGAGCAAGCTATTCTCCAGTTACCAATACCAGTCAGCGTCCATCTTCGACTATCCCCTTGAAGACACAACATTGGACTGCCAGCAAGTTCTTCTTCCTATTAAAATTTAATGATATAAAATGCTACTTATACTATATATTTATCAAAATTTCGTCTGTTGTTTAAAATTTATTGATATTTAGAATCTAGAATGTAAAATAGTTTCTTTTTAAATAGTTGAAAAGGAGAATAGAAAGTATTTAAAAGTATATGTCTATGTAAATAATTTTTGGCTTACATTGCAATCATCCATAGAATATGCCTGTTCAGTGCAAACACTGTTCACCGACGGGATACTAATATTTTCACATTTTTCCATTGCACTATGTTTCAATTGTACTCTTTGCAGTAAATCACCTGTCAAAAAAAGAAACAGAATTTATTTGTTATTGTATATTTGTTTATACATATTTATTTCAAGAATTTTTTGTATCTTTTACATAATTAAAGAAATAATGGAAATATATACATGTATATATATATATATATATATATATATATATATATATAATTTAAAATAAATATATTTTTGCAAAATTATCTATAATTTAACAGGAAAAAATTTTAATTGAATTCTTTATTCAGATTGACGGAATGATATGCAATAGTACATATTTATTTTAAGTTATAAAAATACGTTAATAAATACGTTATAGAGATATATTGTGATAATATCAAATTTATTCTTTAAAGTTTATTGTTAATATTTCAAAAAGAATGTCAAGTATTTTAAATTCTCTAAATTTTAAACAATTATAGACAAGTAACGATTAGGTAACGTACGATTTCTCGCCCAACCCAGAGTGTTGCATTGCGATGTATTGTTCGGTGAGTCTTCGCTCGAGGGTAGACAAACCGGTCTCACAAAATCCGAGAAGGTCGTTACTGGTCTATCCAATTTTACCAAAACAGTCGTACCTTCCACCGGTGATTTAATCATACCAACAATTCTACGTTCTTGTTGCCAAGGTGATGTACTCGAAAGTCGTACAACACCAAGTTTGGCCAGCCATTCTGCTTTGGGTTGGCTATAAAAAAACCAATAAATTTGTTTAAAATTTAAAAAAATATATTATATGTGTATTTTTAACGATGTTAATATAAAGTAAGAAAATATTTTTAATACAAAATATTATCTTTTTTATAAATATATAAAACTCACCCTTGGAAGCAGTACGCAGTTGTGAGCAACCAATTATCTGCTACGAGAGTAGCATCGCAAACATGAACACCTTCTTTGAAAAGTGCAACATGCCACGGCCAATCGCCCGGTTCTGCTATCTTATTAAGACTTTGAGTATCGATGTTTGCACGTAAGGGTTGTATTCCGCATTCTACTTTTCCAATGAAAAGAAAAAGATAAAGAGTTGGTAAAAATTTACAATATAATAAATGGTTATACATATGTATACATATATAGTAATGTGCATAATTGTGTGCTCTCTATTTAAGATAATACACTTATTTTATGTAATAAATTAGAAAAATAGAGAAATCGTACCAAGATCGGAACAGCGAACGTACAAAACTTCCTTGCTAGGACAAGGAGCTCTGACGAAAGTGATTTCCGGTGCTGATGGATCTTCCATATACACATACGGGACATCTTCTTCATCATCAATTCTTATTTCAACAAGAGCCACGCCACTATATTGAAAACAATTACAGAATATAATGATTTCTAAATTATAAAATTCTTTTTCAAGTATACGTAAAATAAATGTAAAAAAATAAGTAAATTTTAAATTATGATTATATTGTACAAATCAAAATTATAACTCTAAAAGTAATACTAGTAAATAAAATTACAAAAGAGAAGCAAATGTATTTAACAATAATTACTATTTGTTTTCAAGTTACTAATCAATAGAACAAAAGATAGAAACAAAGAATGGAAACAAAAAATAGAAACAAAAAATATTTTGAAATAATTACAAAATAATAAATGTAAAGGAAAAAAGTTACGCTAAATGAATTTTTGCGCAATAAAAGTTACATAAAGTAAAAATGCGATAAAAGTAAAAATTTGAACTAAAAAATTGTCGAAAAAACGAAACTTTTTCTATTCCATTTTTTATATCTTGAAAATTATTAAATGATGAAAAAGATATTTATAGTATTAAAGTACAGAATACTTACGTATATGTGAGCAAAGTGCACAATGAACTCGCTGCCGTTTGAAGAACATTATCCATTTCCGTTTCTGGTAGGGTAGCATTTAAATTTGCTGTACAGAGTTTGCCAATAGTGCCTTTTTCATTAAATACAACGTAACCCTCTTTGTTGTATTTTGCGACATGAGGTGTACTCCAGGATTGTGATTTTAATACGTGAACGCTCGGCGCCAAAAGTACTGAGAAACAGATTTATTTATTTTCAATAATTTAATAATTTATTCAACATTATCTTTGTATTGAAAGTAAGTTTAATACATATTTTTTGTCTTATACTACTTACGGCAATCTTTTTCATCGCTACCATTCGGACAGTCCACTTTGCCATCGCATCGTTTTGTATGCGGTATACAGCTTCTTCCCACTCCGCAATGCATGTAACCATCTCGACAATAGGCACAATTCTTTTCATCCGATAAATCCGGGCAATCGATCACGCCATCGCAAATTCTCGGAGATAGAGCTTTGGATTGAAGTGTTTGCACACATCCTACACATTGATTCATTCGTATTAATTAATTCATAAAATACTGCTTTTAATACTGCTTTATCTTATAAGAGATAAAGAGAGATTTTGCTTATAATAATAACGATATTATCACGATGCTTCTGACAATTAATCATACCTGGTTTTGGTCTGCAACTGCCAGGACCTACATATTCTGGAAAGTTGGAACAATCCAAGGCGCGTTTTATCTTTTCAGAAAGACGATTGCCGCATCCATTCCAAAACTCTCTACAAAAACTTCTACAAGGCAATTGTAGCAGATCTTCTGGATGACTCAATTGACATGCAGGCTGCAGCACCTGACAGATAAAGTCGTAGGCCAATGGATAGCATTCCGCGTCCACTAGTTCTCTAATTTCACAATGTACGATTAGATTATAAAATGCATAATATTATCGTTATATCAATTTAACATCAATTTAATATCAATTTAAACATGTAATAAAAAGACGAATTTATTAGTAATTCTCTTGGCAAATATTACACAAATTCTTTTGTGCCTTATAAAAAGTGTATCTA